TCAAAAAAAAAAGTCATAGCTTCAACACGGACCTAGGGAGGGGGTAGACATTCATTATATTCAGGTTTAGGGAAAGGCCTGCATGATTTTTAACCAGAAAGGATAACAAGATATTTTCTTGATCTCATGGCTATGTGTCCAGTCATGGTGATAAAAGGATTCATGGCAGTAGAAAATTGTGTTATCCAGAATACTCTAGACATTTTTTAACATCAGTAATTGATGCTATGAACATTTTACTTGCTACACTTCATGCCCTCTATTCATTATTTTGACTCAAACTTGATATTTGATGTTCTTTCATACATATTTGCCAAATCTATTAGGAAAAGAATATGAAGCATTTTTCTTCAAATATAAGTATTAACTTATAAGATTTGTATGTTTGTTTAGCCAACCAGCAGCAGAACCACAATTATCAGAAAGGTTACTATTTTTTCATCAGTGTTTGAAGTGGAAAATTAGTGAAATCAGAGTAACATGCATTAATGAGACCTTTAGTAAAGAACTGATGTGCATTTGCTATCACCTGTTAGGTTCCTTTGTATCCAAGGCATATATAGATATATGTGTGTACATATACCTATTTGAGAAAGAAAAGAAGAGGGAGAGTATAGAAAAGAGAGAGAAGAGAAGTGAGAGAAAAGAAAAGAGGAAAGGGGGGAAAAGAAACAGATGAAAGAAACTGGGAGAAGAAAAGAAGATAAGAAAAAAGATGATTGGGAAGGAGAGGTGTGAGAGGAATGGGGAGGAGAGAAGAAGAGAGGAGGAAAAGAGGAGAAGAGTAAAATAGAAGAAAGGAGAGAGGAGAAGTGGAGTAAAAAGAAAAGAGAAGAGAAGAAGAGGGAGGGAAGGAAGAGAAGAGAAGAGAAAGAAAGAGAGGAAAAAGAAGAAAACAGTAGAGAAAAGCAGAGGAGAGGAGAAGAAAGATAGAAAAAGTGTGCTTGTATACATGAATGCATGTGTGCATGTGCATACATGAGTACATGACCTGGTACCCTGCCATATAAAATATAAACAAGTTTTGAAATACAGCTCACAAACATATGCTTCATCATTTTTTGTAAAGACTATCATGTATTGAAATATCTCCCTTCAAACACCTATATCAAAAACTCCTCTTGTAACTTCAAAACAAAAAGACAAGAGGACTAATCCAACAGTGCTGATTTTAAGTAGTACATTTCAAAATCTTATGAGATACACTGTAAAGGCTTCACCGTATCTTAACCCATTTTGAGTGGGGAGACAACAGGGGAGGGAGTGTTGGGAGCATATAAGGGGGAATGGGAGTGGGTGCACAGCCAGCAAAAGAGGGAGCCATTTGAAAGCTATTATCTGAGATAAGGGGAAGTAAAGTCAGCCAATCTCACTGTCTCATGGTGAATACTGATCGTGTCAAATCAAAAGTGAAACACTAGGAAATTTACAGCTATTTGTAATATATTTATAGATATAGATATGCAAGACATGATGATTAAGTCAAAAAGTTTACAGCTATGTGTAATATATTTATAGATATAAATATGCAAGACATGATGATTTAAGTCAAAAACTTCTTTTTTTCTTACTGATTTTCAGGGTCATACTACCATTTCCGCTATGACATGACTAACTCGTTTTTCTAGTCTAATCTAGCATTTGGAGCTAGCTATCGGATTACTAATATTTATAATATGCTTTCTATATTTCTCATAAATGGGGGTTCTCTTCAGCTAAAATGAATACCCAATTATATACATTATGATATATTTACAGAATGCCATCCTATCAAAGGTTCTAATGGCTTATATTGGGCATTTCATTTCTTGATTCTCTCAACTTGCAATAGCTGTTAGTTGTTATCAAGTGTTTATCTTTTGTTTTTTCAGAGAACAGATTTAAATTTAACATTTAGTAGCTTGGCATCAGTATGAGATATGCATATTGGATTGATTCATTCAATAAACATACACACATTCAATATATAACTTATTTTCTAAAAACAGAAACCCCATTTGCTATATCTTTACACATCTTGTTAACAACTACAGACTTTATTACAATGGGACACAATACTGTAAGAATGAAAACTGCATTCTGGACAATACATTCTTGACATAAAAATAAAAACTCAGGATAAATAACATAAAGGCTTGACACATGAAAAAAAAATTTAATATGTAAATATTTGTCAATAAAAATCTATCATAAATATAAGTATGTATAGCCTTAAAACTCGCCAAAAAGCTGGATGCAGTCAAGTTTTGCAACACTGAGCCAAATAAAAGCCAACATATCTTTCCATTATCATTGTATCCTTATGTGCATAAAAATCATCTATAATCCTCAGTATTCAAAGCACCAAAATTACATTAAATATGAAACTCAAAAGAAGGTAAAATAGGAAAAGAAAAGTCCTTACCATGCTCTCCCAAAGTTTCCTCTTCCTCCTCAATGATATCTTCAAGATCTATGTAGCTGGTGTAAGCATTGTGTCTTGTCTGGTTGGCAGCCAACTCTACAAAAGGCAGAAGAAACATTAAAGAAGGTACATCCCGAAAGACGTCTCTTTGTACAGCCGGAATCACAGTACACACAGCTTCATCCTGCATTCACGCCCTTGTCTTGTAGCCATTACGGAATGTTAAGCCAGCCGAGGCACTCATACACCTGATATCCATATGATCTTTACAAACTGATTGCAAAATGAAGTCTTACCTAGAAAAGCAGAACTCAGTTATCTCTCTTTCTCTTTTTTTTTCATTTTCTTTATGGGCTTGCGATAAGAAATGCACCATAAATCATGTTCTGACGAAAATATGTTTTTAGAAACTGGAGTGAAAGGGAAAACCAATTCATTTCCATTCTCTCTCTATCAAATGTAGCTGAAGTATTTAAAAATAAACCCTAAAAACAATATCAAGAATATCAATGCCTATCACTATAATAATAACTGATAATGAGAATGACAAGAGACTATATATCCTTTTCATGCCTCATTTACACACGTATATCACTTCCTTCACATCCTACTTATATAGCAGGTTACATATAGACTAGTTGATTCTATGATCATATTAAAATATATTTAGAGATCACAGTTTAAAAGCAAAAAAGGAAAAAAAAAAAATTGTTGCTAGATGTACTTAAAAAAAAAATGGAAAATCAAAATGGTGAATTGTACATAAACATCATCCTGAAAAAAGATGCAACACAGCCTCATCAAATCTCTTGCAATAAAAAAAGTGCCTTATTCAACAAGAAAATTAAGGGAAAAAAATCTGATTCAATTCAGATCATACAAATAAGCATGACATCTTCTTTGGCCAAACTGACTTTCACACTTTATACCACTATATCATGTAAGAGATTTAAGTAAGAATTGACGCTGATACTATACGTAACACCCATGTTAGAACAGTCCCATGAAAGTCAAAATGGGTTAGAAGTGTGACCGCTGAACGAACTCTTTGTTGGAAATAAAAAAACAAATGAATAATGAAAAATATATATATGCAGTGCAAGCAAGATCATTTATATTAAATTTCATTTAAAAGTCATTTCTCAAAAGCTGCAAAACAAGGGAAAGTAAAATAGATATAACATATCAAAGACTAAGAGAGCAGGAAACGAGAGAATATTCATAACCATGCAGTATTTAAACTCTCTGAACCAGGTAAAGAAAAAAACTACATTAGGCCTTTCATACATCACTACATTTTTATGGTATGATAGATGCAAGTGAGGGCAAAGCATGCTAGAGTAAAAAAATAAATTAATAAAAAAAAAAAATTAAAAAAAAAAGAGGAAAAGAATATATTAACTCAACATATATCATTACAAATACTAAGAAGCAACATTTTCATTAAGAAAACATTCCAAAAGACCCTTTTTATAAGAATCCAGAGAGAAAAAAATATATATATTTATTTATATCTTCCAGGTTGATGTTGGAGAATTGCCACCTCCAATGGCTACATAGTTCTGTCGCTGAAGCACACCAATGGGTTCAAAAGGGACAATCCCCATGTTTTATTCCAAAGGGTGTACCAATCTCCAGCATCAACCATTAGAGACAGAGGCAGAGAGAAGGGGAGGAACAAGTGTATAGGCAAATGTATCGGTATTTGTGTGTGTGTTTGAGTATATGATTTGGAAGGGTAGTGAAGGCAGGCTCACAAAATTTGTCCCATGAACAATTTCTGTTTGTTTGTTTTTACGCCTATAAGGAATGTAGAGTAATGTTTTCTGGCATAAGGATGTCTGCTCATGGGAAAGCTGTGTGTGTGTGTGATTCTACATGAATTTCTTTTTGAGAAAAGAATGCTTTTTTGAGTTGAGAGTAAGCATACAAGAACATGTTTTGTAGAAGGGATCTACAGTGTTTGTGACTGTGATTATAATATATTGTGTGTGTAGTGTGAATTAGCTGTGTGTGTCAGGTAGATGTAAGTGTTGTGTGTGTAAGATGATGTGTAGTTGTGTATGTGTGTATGATGAAGTTGAGTGAGTGTTGTCGGTGTGCGTTGTGCACTAATTGTGTGTTGACGTGTGGCAGCATGGGTGTGAATCTATTACTGACGTGTGGGACGTGTATGTTGATGCGGTGTGCACGTGGTGTTGTGCGTTTGTGCACGTGGATGTGTGTGTGAGCGGTGTTGCAGCGTGTGTAGTCGTTTGTGTGCGGTGCACGTGTGTTCAACTGTGTGTGGTGTGCACAGAAGCTAAGTGTGTGTGTGTGTAGTGTGTATGGTGTAGTAGTGTTAGTGTGTGCTGATGTGTGTGGTGTGTGTGTATGTGTGTGTGTGTGTGTGTGTGTCGTAGTGTGTATGCCATTGTGAAAGTAGTATGATGAGCCTGATAGGATAAGAATGTATTACATCATGTCAATTCTTTATTTGTACCTCATAATGGCATAAATATTAGTCATAATTCCAATCCTGCATGACTATTCGCTTGTGCAACTGTCTTCACACCATGCTGAACCGTAAAGCTACTTCCCTCACTTATGCTGCTCTGATAAAAGCTCTTAATCATAATTTTTAGACTAATAATGATCCAGCTTATTTTTCTTTATTGGTTCGGTATCTATCTGTCTGAGCAAGTACATCAACCTAAGCACTAAACACTTCACATTCTCATGGTTTTAATTTTTCTCGTGGACTCCTCTCTCTCTCTGACAATGATACACACACTCTAATAAGAGAAGCGAACATGGCTGGATGAGTAATAATTTCTTTTATAAAGAGAATCTATTAAACACTATTATATCTGATCTGAGTTATTATCATCAGTTACAATTTTCCAAATGCACATCGTTCTTTATACATAGAAAGCTAAGTCATTAAGCGTAGGATTTTTTTCATTAAGTGCTATCGAACATACAGTATAACCACTTCACCTACAAAAATCAACACATGCAAGCGAACTAAAACCTTTAAGAAGAGTGAATGCTATAAAGAATCAAGCCGCAATCCATATATGACCTAATAACAAGTGTTTAAAGGCCATTCAGAAAACTAATAAATTCTAATAAGAGTAAATTTCGCCGGTCGTTGAGTAGTGTATCTATTAGCTTGATTCATATTTTTATAATAGTGACTGCTCACACTTACTATCACACATGAGTACTAACAGCAAAATAATATATTTCAGATACCATGGATAAACAATAGCAGCATACACAACACAATTATCATGTTCTCACAGAGAGCGAGAAAAGTGGAATAGTTTTGATAAGGACATCCAAACAACATAGATAGATTAATCTTGTCTAAAGTCTATCCAGGACTAGATACAGACACAATTAGCTCCACAAAAAATGGTCACTGTGTAGAATAGTATGCGTTAGAATATGCATACGATTAGATGCATGTAGATAACGATGTATCAAGTCCTCTTCATGTCTGTCACTCTACTCGAGTTAAAACTTATAACCAGATGTCTCTACGTACTACTTATAAGAGATATGTGTACATAATCTAACATAATTAGATTATATCCCTCGAATAGACATGACTAAAATAGCATACACGAATCTGTGGACATCACCAGCTTAAGTTATATTATTTTATATTATTGCTTGTTAAGAGAAAACTAGAACTATCTGTATCTATCATTCTGCATGAGGCAGCAATTAGTATTTGGAGCATTCTATTGAGCAGAGCAGCACACACAATCAATATGCCTTAGATGAAATTGTACTATATCGCATCTGGAAGGAGGTTAACAAGAGACCTGTATAAAATAGAAATCAAAGTGTAGACAAATATAAACTGTAGGAATGTAACAGTAAGAATATCACCCTTGATGTTAGCACTGTCAATATACTACTTGTATGTATGAATGAACGATTAGAGTGGACACTATGTAATGCGTAATGGGTTAAGTCGGCTATCTGTGTGTATCTATATACAATATTAAGGCACAAAGATGAGATTGGCACATTAGCATATGATTATTGCTCATCAGCACATTACCCAACCCTCATTACCTTATCAGTAGCATTATCTATACTTTTTAAGAAATATCAATCCAATCATTCTAACTTACAGTACTTATGAGACAAAGTCACGAGAGAAGATCAAGCAAACTGACCCCATCTTGTGAATTCTGGGCCATAATTTTAATGTTAACAGAAAAAAAATAAATTATCACCAAATAGATTTGATCTAGTTGCGGATAATCACTTTAAATAAGTTCGATCTATGGTATAATAACATCAGGTTTTTCATATATCACATTTCACTTGAAAAAATTATAGGAGTTATTATAACCGAAAAGCTGGCATACACAGTACACGTGGAGGGGTAGAGTGGCAAGAGTTTGCTAGTAACATTGTAGCAATCACTTCATCGCTGTATAATTACCATTATCCTTACATTCTGTGGTAGGAGTCATAGGCGGCTACTATCAGCCCTAGCAATTATAACGGAGACCGACGCTTGAAATTAATAATTTGTATAGATAATGTTCTCACTTCTTGATGATGCGTTTGGGCTTAGGTGTGAGTACGGCACCACGTTGTGGTGCATGTGTTGTATACTTCTGGTTGATATGTGGAGATGGTAGATTGAGATTGAATTATGATATGATTCATTGACGCTTAGATGATCATATCTGAGGTGGGAGTATCCGCAGTTGAGTGAGGTTGGGTGAGTGAGTGAGTGATTGAGTGGAGTTGAGTGAGTGAGGTTGAGTGCAGACTCGAGTGAAGTGAGTGAGTGATTATAGAGTCGAAGTGGCCTCGATGTCAGTCTTGCAGTTATGCTTGAGTGAGTTGAGTCCGATGCTTGATGGGTGAGTGAGGAGAGATAAGATCGAGTTGAGTGCGTGTCGGTGTGTGATGTCGCTATAGCTAAGGTGTGTGCGTTAGTCGTGTCTAGAGTGTTGTTAGAGAGCATATTGAGTGTTACGCGTGATAGTATGCGCGTGCTTTATGGTAGTTGTGTTGTGTTAGTGTTTAGACTACGGTTAGTGTTAAGATGCGCTTCAGATAGAGTTAAGTGTATTAGTGCT